ACCCATACATTAGCACAGAGTATAAAAAACAATTCAATACTCGCAATCTAGTGGACATGCTCAAATTGTTATTCTTTAAAATGTTCTCTAAGTTGGAGAGAGCTACTTTCGAAAGTGTAATTCTTCTCTTAATTTCTTTTCCCCATCTGATAACCTCTGTTATAGTATTACCGAGATAATTGAAAGACGAAACCTGTTTTATTTCCTGGTCTTTTACTTTCCCTGACCACCTCACACCTTTCTTTGATATAATCATACATTCGGTTTTCTTACTGTTTATAGTTAACCCCCTGATTTCACTTTCTCTCACAACCATATCTAGGAGCCTTTGTAGATCCTCTTCCGATTCTGCTAAGAGTACCGTATCGTCCGCGTAACGTATGTTAGTAATGTTATGACCACCCAATTTCAACCCCCTCTCTTGCTCTAACGATCTAAGAATCAATTCACTGTTTAAATGAAAAAGCTCTGGAGACATAACACACCCTTGTCGAACACCCCTTTTGATATTTATATATTCACTGTGCTCTCCGTCTATTCTGATACATGCAGACTGTTTCCAATACAGATTTTGTAATAATCGCAAATCCTTGGAGTGTAAATTTATCCTGCATAGATCCTCGAACAAGAACAAGAAGGCCTTGATGTAATAAAAAAAAAACACAAGAAAACCATCTTTTGCATTTCTACGGCTCTTTCCAACAAACTAGTTGGAACAAAGACAGCATTTCTGGTACTGCATCTTTAACGAAACCAAACTGCATCTTTCCAATTCCAGGTGATAACCAATTTCTTGCTCTCAGAAGCAGAACTCGGAGTATAATCTTTGTGATATAGCCCATAAGACAGATCGTTCTGTGAAGCTCACATTCCACGTCTCCGGGCTTTTTAGGAAGTGCAATGAAAATTTATTTACTCAACTCATCGGGAAAGACACTATCATCATAGATTTTTTTTTACTACTTCTGTCAGTTTTTCAATACGATAATCACCAAGCACTTCAATCATTTTCATTACTATCCCATCTGGACCAGCTGCTTTTTTTTTCTCTTCATCCTCCTTAAAGCCTCCCTAATTTCTGAGGGCATGATCTTTGGACCTTCCACCGATTCTTTGAACCATGGTAGATCTATTCTTACATCATCGAATAATTCAGATATGTATTCCGTCCATCTACCAAAGATTTCATCTTTCTCTACAAGCATAGTCCCATTTTTTGCTCTGATACACCCGGAATTTGAGCAGCCTGTTTTTCTGTTTGATATTTAATTTATCTTTTTGTACACACCATGGTCGTTTCCTGAATTTAAATTTCGTTCGATCTCGACACATTTTCTATTTAACCAGTTCTCTTTAGCTTCTGTGCACTTCTCTTTCATTCTCTTATCTAAATCTTTATATTCACTACTTTCTCTGTTCTTGATCTTTTGTCTGCTGCTCATCACTGATAGCATCTCTTCCATCATCCACTTCTGCTTCTTATCCTTCTTCTTCTTTGGCAGCGTTTCTTCAGCTGACTCTACCAAAATTTATATAAGACTGCTTAAAATCAGAAACAAAAGGAAACTCTTTTATGGTCACATAACTAGAAGCAGTGATATCAGGAGAGACTTGGTAATGAGAACAGTATACATACATATGAACTGTATGTGGCATCATATTTAGGCCGTACGTCTTACCCATATGTATGTGTATAATTATGTGTGTGTGTGTGTGTGTGTGTGTGTGTGTGTGTGTGTGTGTGTGTGTGTGTGTGTGTGTGTGTGTGTGTGTGTGTGTGTGTGTATGTATGTATGTATGTATCTGTATATGCATATATATACATTTATATATAAGTATACATGTATGTGTATGTATGTATATGTGTTTGTATACTTAAGCACATGCACGTGCACACGCACATGCACATGCACACGCACACGCACACGCACACGCACACGCACACGCACACGCACACGCACACGCACACACACACACACACACACACACACACACACACACACACACACACACACACACACACACCACATACTTTTTTTACATATATATAGATAGTGTATATGTATGTATATATATATATGCGCGTATATATGTATATATGTGTGTGTACATATATATGTATATATGTGTGTACATATATATGTATATATACATATATATACATACGCACACACATACACACACACACACACACACACACACACACACACACACACACACACACACACACACACACACACACACACACACACACATATATATATATATATATATATATATATATATATATATATATATATGTATGTGAATATATATACATATATATATATATATATATATATATATATATATATATATATATATATATATATATGCATATATACATCATATATATAGATATAAAAATATATATTTATACATATGCAATATAAATATATATGTATATATATATATATGTATATATATACACATAGATGTATATATACATATAAATGCATAT